TATACAATTCAGTTTTTAACTATTTGTCATACCGATTAATTTATAGATTTCGTTGAAAAAATTCTTGGTTTTAGTTTTGTTGAAACATTACCCCAGCTCGATACAACCGGGTTTAGTAATACCTAAAATTTTGCTCACTACTAGTAATTAATTAAAATATCATTATAAAATTAATTGTTAAACATTTTGAAAACATCTTTACTTATAGAGTGACAAATATATCAAACAGAAAGCCATATTAAGTCAACTAAAATCTACGGAAAGGTCAGACAAATTTCGTAATATGAGAGTCGAGTTGGTCGTTGCCATAATATTGGTCATGACCATGGTGGTTACGGTGGTCGAATGCCAAAAAGGGACACTTCTGCACGTATTCATTGATAAGAACGGCCGACATATTCCTGACAAGACTGCGGCAGATATCTGCGTAAACAAACGATGCAAAGTAAAAACTGAGACTGCAACTCATAACGTGTGCATGGTCAACGATACTTATCCATGGGATGGACCATATTGCGTTGCTTGGAACAACACGATCTCCAGAAATAAGGCTAAATATCACCACGTTAAACTTACGGTATATAATTATGAAAAAGTAACACAAAAGCCACAAAATGGTCCACAGATAGCGGATATATACCTGGCAAAATATAGCAATTTTACTGAAAATGATTCGCGCGCTATATGCAAAGAGATGTATACGCAGCAAACCTGTGGATCTCGTGAACAACTATGTATTGTATACCGTAATATAAGTAAAAAAGCAGAATGTATCTCACGCGCTGACGTATGGAAATTTCACCACAAGAGTGACTTTTACCCTGTTAAAGCAACTGAAACTAAAGCCAACTTAAAATATAATTTTGGTTATAATCCACTTGGCTAATTTTGGTTTCTATAATTTTGGCTTATATGTAATTTTATTGCTATTATGAATAAAATATCAGTTTCTATTTATATTGTATTGTAAAATTTAATTTCCAACTATTGTGTGTTGTTATGCAATAAATAATTTTAAAGTTTGTCTGACATAGCATGTTTATTAGGGGGATTTGGTTGTTTTATTTTATTTACTGAATAGCGAAATAGTACAGTATAAACTAAACAGTACCACTCTCGACAAATAGTAATATTTTAAAACGCAAATCATTGTGACCTCAGTCAATGTTCTCGAATAATTATAAAAATGTTGGACCAAGGTTAGTTGTCATAATTCTACTCACAAATTCTATCATATTTACATACAATAACTCATTTGAGTAGTTTTAAATAAATTAATTTTAATCATATATGTTGATGTTTTTTGTAAGTATTGTATATACTGTTTACATAGCGGGCTGAAGACCGTATCTGCGAATATTGTTCTCGACAAAACATTTATGTTTAAATAGATTATTGATTAATGAGTCGCCCCCTCAAGAGGGCGAGTGTTCCGCTCATTCGGATCAAAACCAGTGGACACGTGCGCTGCCGACAAGTGCCGGTCGAATAGGTAGCCAACAATAGCCAGGGCTCTGACAATGATGGAAAATGTGGTCACAAACGTCTATATTTATATTTTTAGCGAATAGGGAAATAATAGTTCTCCTAAAACTATTTTTAACTACTATACTGATATGAATAATGTGGTTTATAGGATCGTTCGGCCTCCCCTCTCCCTCCCCTCCCCCACCCTATGGGATTACAGCTTATGTCTATGGCTATACTTTAACATGGGTAATGCTAAGTTAATGGCAATGCTAAACCTATGAACAATGTTAAGTCTACGGCATAGGAATAATATGGGTAATGCTAAGTCTATGACATATGGATAACATGGGCAATGCTAAGTCTACGGGACTAATGCTAAGTCTATGGCATAGGGATAACATGGGTATTGCTAAGTCTATAAACAATGATAAGTCTATGTGCAATGCTAAGTCTATGGCATATGGATAACATTTGTAATGGTATATCAATGGGACAATGGGATTATAAATTAATCTGCTATAATAAATAGAACTAATTGTTGTCAAAAACATTTAAAATTCTCAAAATAATAATAGTGAAAGTATTCTAACAATAGTATTGAAAACTTTAAAATCTTTGATGCATTTTCCGAATAGTGGTTAACGTATAGCATCGCTGTGTGAACCTTGTTTTAAAATGTATTAAAATATTAAATTGTGTTTTAGTTTTTGGAAAAATATTCATTTCTATCTGTTTTGGTATAAGCTATTGGATCAAAAAATGTTGCAATGTTTATCGCATCCCATTTGTGGTTTTAACCTCTGTGTGGCCACAAAAGTAGGGTATTTATAGCTGTTTTTATTCAGGGATAATTTTTATATTTATCATTATTGCTCTTTTGAAAAATAAACACTTTTTAAAATAAATTATTCAATTTGTAATCAATTTAATTAAAACTTTGATAGTGAGATTCAAATCCAAATAAATATCAATTTTTTCTTAAAATAACTAAAACATTTTAATATTTAAATCTCAAAAATATATGAAAATAACCACTTATTTTGAGTGGGTTGTCAGTGTTGGTAATGCATTTATGCCTATTACCCCTCAATAGTGGTCAATGGTTTGAGCACTCATTTGAATCGACATTTGACTTATCAGACAATAAACAGACAGGAAATGAAATCACAAAATATTGAAACATTTTTGAGTTGAAGTTTTTAAAATTATTTAGATCCATGGCCGGAAATTTTTTGCACATAAAAATATTTCTGGTCACGTGACTATATTATTGTGAAAATGGACCATTTGCGAGACCCATGGTGTACACCTACGGTGTTTATGAGAGGGAGGGGTGGGGTTGGGGTTCGATAGTAGAGATGTCAAAGTGTTATACACATTTAAAACAGAAATCGTAGGATTGCACGTTTTCAAATGGAAGGCTAACAAACTTAGTCGACTTTTACATGTTAACCTATGGGGCTGAAAATTTTTTTATATTTAAATATAAGTAATTATATAGTTAAATACTACATAAAATTCTAATAATGTTAGCCGAAAAAACTTTTGAAAAATTTCATTTCAAATACAAAATATCGTGGATTGAATTATTGAGTTTTTAAGAGTTTTATGGCTAAAACTAAATATTTCAATCCACAATATTTTAGGATTTATTAACACATAGGTTAACATGTAAAAGTTGACTAAGTTTGTTAGCCTGCCATTTGAAAACGTGCAATTTTACGATTTCTGTTTTAAGTGTGTATAACACTTTGACATCTCTACTATCGAACCCCAACCCCCACCCCTCCCTCTCATAAACACCGTACGTGTACACCATGGGTCTCGCAAATGGTCCATTTTCACAATAATATAGTCACGTGACCAGAAATATTTTTATGTGCAAAAAATTTCCGGCCATGGATCTATATATGTGTAATGACTCAATATAGACACTTCAGCTGTTCCCAAATGGTGTTCAAAACAAGTCACACAATTAATTTGTAATGCCCTTATATAAACAAACAGTGCATCGATATATCCCGGACACACTTTACCAAAATTCACTTAAAATTTTTAGATTTTTAGTTTAAAATTTTTAGCAAATTTAACTTTTAACGTGGTGCAATAGTTAACCGAATACAGTATAAACCAAACTAGGGGGTAAATTTTATATCTCATTATATCTCGATTTTATAATTGTACTTGCATTAGGCACAAAATAACTTGGCAACAGATAAATGTTTTATTACTTGAAATACCATTTCAAATACTTATACTGTTATTTTGTTAATTTCGAGGTAAATTAATTGTAAATATTACCTAATTCATTTCTATTCTTGGAAATAACATTTCTAATCAATTCTGTTGTCTCTATAATACAAAAATGCGGCTAGATTAATTGTTGTAATTTTTATATAAATACTCAATAAGAAAATAATTTAATTCATATTTAAATTAATCTATATAGAATTAAAGATTATTATCATTATTATAAAAACATGAATTATCTAGTTTTAATAATTAGCGTTATTTTATATGCCGTAAATTGTAATGCCTTTCAATATCATTACATTTCAAGCGATGGTAATATATATGATCGCGAATCACCCAATCGTACAATTGAAGATCTACCCGACAATACGGTAGCAACAATTATATACGAAAATAACATAAACATAACTGGGTAATTATAATAAATAATATTAATTTTATTTTTATTATTAAATAAAATAAATAATTATTATTATACATAAATGATCTAGATGGGCTAATCTAGAATTAAAATCGTACAATACGTCCGGAAACGACAGTCTTCAGGCATATATGTCGGGTCTACTCGAAAGCTACATAACGGGTGAACTCATTCACATGAGTTATCTCAACACAATCGATGGGTTTTGCGATGCGTTAAAGCATTTTCATGAGACGAACACCGCTTTCATCAATACTATGATTAAAACTCATGCAAACGACGACTATTGGCATCAATTAGGGCTCGTCTACGACCAGATCAGGGGTTTAGAGGACGGCTATAAGTATTGGAAAATTGATAATCACGTCATTCAAGAAACTGATGAAATAAATGTGATGAGCAAAATCTGGTGGTTAAACATACTTGCTGAAACTTATGAGCTCGAGGCAATACTCACACCCAACTCAACCACAATACCATATCGAGACCATTGCTCAGCTTTGGTCAAAGTATTGCCCGACGGCAGTGACCTGTATGTGGCCCACAATACGTGGACCAATTATAAATCAATGCTCCGGGTGTTGAAACAATATAGCTTCGCATTCAATAGCCTAACAACGGGTGCTTTAATACCCGGCCATTCGGTGGCCATGTCTTCATACCCGGGGTCTGTCTTTTCTGGCGACGACTATTACGTGCTGTCGTCCGGACTCGTGGTTCAGGAGACGACTGATCATATTTGGGACACATCACTGTTCGCGAGGGTACGGCCCGATCGGGTGGTCGTTGAGTTTGCCCGCAATGTTGTGGCCAATCGGTTGGCCACTGGTGGCCGTCAGTGGACAGAGATATTTGGTCGCTATAATAGCGGCACTTATAATAACAAGTTCATGATTGTTGACTATAAACTATTCACCAAGGGCACACCTGTTACTCAATTATCTGATGATTTACTCTGGGTATGCGAGCAAATTCCCGGCAATATAACAGGGGCAGATTTGACCATGCTGTTAAGAAATACCGGCTATTTTGGCTCATATAATAACCTGTATTTCAAAAATATACTTGATATAAGCGGTTGGTCGGACATGATCAGAAAATACGGTGACATTTATGATTACGACAAAACCGCGCGGGCGGTTATATTTCACCGTGAGCAACTTAACGTGACAGATTTGAACACGTTGTATTCATTTATGCGCTACAACGACTTTGAGCATGATCCATTATCACTGTGCAGTCATTACCATCTTGATTGTCAGCCCGACTACTCTAGCTGTCTAACCATTGCGGGTAGGCTTGACTTGAACTCACCCACTGGTCACTACCCGATAGGAAATGGTCACGAGTATAGTGGGGCTATTGATGCCAAACTGACCAATACAGAAATGTCGAGTCTGTTAGAGATGTTGGCCGTGAGTGGGCCCACACATCGTAATTACCCGCCGTTCCGCTGGTCGACCAGTGGTGCCGGCGCTGATGTGCGCCATACGGGTCAGCCCGATGTGTTTGATTTCAAACCCATTTATACCAAGTGGTACCCAAACGAGTGATTTGTAGCTGATGATATTATTGATGGTTAATTAAACTATTAAATTTTGTAAGGATTAAGCGAGATAATTAAATAAAACTCAAGCATTAAGATGGGAAATAATTTATTTTATTGTTTTATTTAATGTAAAAAACATAAACGTTTCGACAATCCTAATAAACATTCTATCGTGATATCTGTAATTACACAATAAGTAATAAGCAATAAGTAATTTGAAGTGGGGGTTGAGATGGGTTTTGTCGCCGCCTGTTTTTGAATCTCTAACTCCCAGCCGATGGAGCCGTACTCGGAATCATTGGCGCCCAGGAATAGCACCGGGAAGTTGTACGCGGCGTACTTTTGAACACCAAATCGACAGGTTTGGCTCTAGAGGTGAGATTTGGGTCTATTTGTACAGAAGTTCATATGAAAGTGAATTCGTTAAAAAATGCATTTGTCTTTTGTGTTGTCCTTTAGATCCGGGAGACTAAACGTTTTAGTCACTGTACCGAACTCGGGTGCCATCAGTTCCAGCTGTTCCTCCACCACCAGAGTAATGTCACATTACTCATGTAAAAAGCAAGTTTTCAATGCATTGAGCCCTATGCTTGTGGTTACAGATATGTCCATAACTCCGGTGTTTGTGGCCATTCGCATGTTTTGAATGATGTTTTGAAGTCTCCTCATTGTTCTGATCATCACCATATCACTCCCGTCGGGTTTAATTAGGTTGCGTGGACATACACTCCTTTTGAGTTTTGAAATATCATTTACTAAACAATAAATAAATAAAACAAAAATTATTCAATTGTTTAAAAAATGATGTTGTAAATTTACTTTACTTTACTTTATAATATAATAATTACAATAATTACAATAATAATTAATTAAAATATTAAGTTTCATTACAAATTGTTTATGATTTTTAAAAAACTAAACAGTAAACTATACTATCGTTAATAATTAAATTTATTTAAATTGTTTTCTAATAAGTAAATTTATATTTCAAATGATAGTGAGATAAATAGAAAATATTATTATTTGATCAAAAACTTGAATTTTAATAATGAAATAAATGTTTGTTTTTTGAGACAATATATTTGATGAATGTCTCTCTTTCCACTACCGATTACCTAAACAATAGGCCATTTGTGCCGTTAGATGGGTCAATGTCCGCGCGCACGTCCGCGTAAGTATCTATTTCTGGGTTCGGGTGGCCGGCCGGGATCACGTTTTGGTCCCGGTGAACTCCGGCGACTGCCAATTTTCGTTTTGTTCGCGTCGTCTGTCTTGCAATTGTCCCACTTTTTCATCGTCGCGTAATACAAGGCGTTGTAACGGCCGACCACTTCAGTCACACCGGTATCCTTTTCGTAATGATAGCCATCAATACCGACGTACGCGTGAACGCCGTCATACTTGTCGACAGGGGCTGACTGGCCGTACTCTAGCTTAGTGTATGGGTACACATCGAGCGAGTGCGGCTTTACCTTTCGAGTGAAGGTTTTTATATTGTCGCCTTGTGTTTGGTAGATCTGGTTGGGCGGCTGCGCAAGTTGTAGTTTCGGTTCAATCACATGGTATTGATTCCAACCGGTGGCCATCAAACTCATGTCATCGCTTCTGTAGCCGATAGTGTCGGCTGCGGTTTGGACGATAGGCCAGTCGGGTTTGACGAATGGTCGCAATTCTGGTTTCGCCGTAACCGATGGCCATTGAGTGCATTTGTAGCCGTCATAGATCACGGGCAGGGGTACCCGATCTTTCTCATACCGCTGTTCACTACGGAATTCTGCGCGCATCACATGAATGTCGGTATAGACCGTACGGTCGTCGCCGATGCCTAATATTTTGTCCATCATTGGCTTTGGGGGCACAACAAACACTTTGTCCTTAGAGATGTGGACCCGGCCTGTGGTCTCAACGTTGGCCTCGTGTAGGCGTTCGTACCGATGCCGAGCCCTCACTTCTGCCATACCCTCCTTCTCCCAGTTTTCGATGGCTTCAAACCTCCCGCCCTCTGGAATGGTAAGAAAGCACTTCCGGGCGGCAGACGATAGGCTTGACGTATTCGGGGGCTGAAACACCGCCGACGCTTGCGCCGGGGTTGTGGTGGGGGTTGAGGTAGCTTTGGAGGCGGGTTTTGTTGACGCCTGTTGTTGAATTTTTAACTTCCAAGCAATGGAGCCGTACTCCGACTCATTGGCGCCCAGGAATAGCACCGGGAAGTCGTACGCGGCGTACTTTTCAACACCAGAATCGACAGGTTCGGCCCTAGAGGTGGAATTTGTGTCTATTTTGATCGGAACTTCATATGAAAGTGGATTCTTTGAAAAAATGCATTTTTCAATTGTGTCATCCTTTAGATCCGGGAGACGAAACGTTTTGATCACTGTACCGAACTCGGGTGCCATCAGTTTTAGCTGTCCCTCCACCACCACCAGCCCTCCCGGTTGCACCAGGGTGCGGTTGTGCACTTTGCCATTGGGGTCAACGTTTTGCAAATACTGGTCCAATACGACCAGTTTGGCGCCGGCGCACACGTATATCGCGAATCTACCGACACCTGTAGCATTGGATGTGACCATGTCGTCGACCAACCCGTCCCCAGTATCGTCAGTCAACTCGAAAACTCCACCCCATGTGCGGCAGTCATAATTGTTGGGGCCGTCGCGCGTGTAATACCTGTCGCCGAGTTTGTTGTATTGGCCGGCGTTGAACGCCCGGTACAGGAGACCGAACCACAGCCAATACCTGCCGATCCGGGACTTCCATTGGTCACACATTTTGTCATTTGCCTCACGAAAGTTAAGAAAATCGGAGTGCGATTGTTTGGCCCCTCTCTCCCGAAACTCGATGCGCACCGCCGGACACAACTGACTGACTGTAAAGAGATTGGACACATTGCACATGCTTGTGTTAGTGTGTATGGCTAAAGTGATGGTGTAAATGCCGCCCACCCGTTTGGCGAACACATGTGTGCCGTACTGACGCCGGGCCACATACAGCCAATAATTTTTTACATCCGAATCTGTGGCCATCGGTGCTTCAGGCCTTTTTCCCATTTTGTAAGCGCCGGCGTAGAACACGCCGCTCACCCGACACCAGGCGTCCAGTTGGTCGGTGTGGCCCAACACAACCATATACTGGTCGGTGGCCGACAGCAGATCTTTCTTTTTGTCGGCGTCTTCTTTAGCGATGGTCACGACATAGCAGTTGTGGTAATGCCGGCGGACGGCAGTGATCGGCAACCGACGCAATCCAGTCATATCTAGTAATTTATCATTCATTGTGTGTCTCTAAGTGTGTGTCTACTGAAGCTGTAGTTCCCGTCACTATTCGTGTCACAGCGATTGGGATCCGATGTCTTGTGTTTTGCTTTTCTCTCAAATGCTTTTACTTTTTACTGAGTTTTGAAATTTTTTGATTTATTAAACAATACATTAATTTTAAAACATAATTGATTTTATTTGAAGCATAAATATTTTGATACGCTTTTAAAATTTAATGTGTTTAATATGATTTTGTGGCATTTTAATGTATAACATTCTTAATCCTGTCAACCACTAGACAACTCAATTATATGTTAATTAAAACATAATTAATTAAAATGTCAAATTATGTGTTTGTGTTAGAAGAATCAAGCAAGATAATTAAATAAATTTCAAGTGTTAAGATGGAAAATACTTTATTGAGCGTAAAAAATCATAAATGTTTTGGCAATCCTTATAAACATTCTATCGTGATATCTGTAATTACACAATAAGTAATAAGTAATTTACTGCCGGCTTAAGTTTGCATGTCTTACCTCTCTTTCAAACTTGTTGCATATCTGGAATCGCGCTGACTCTCCATCGCCAATCTCTCTCGTCATAATAGGACACAATGTGGACGAAAAATTTTTCCTTACCCTGATAAAAATAAGATTTGCAACTAATTAGATTAAATTTAATTGTGAAAATTCCAAAGAGTATGGAACATAATATTAAATTACCAAGCTTAAAGGTTTATAGATAAAACAATAAATACAAAAAATAAACAAATGTGCGAAGCAAGCTAGCAAAAATATTACCTAGGATTTGAGTTACTCATAAAATTGACATCAATGCGGCGAATTTTAATGCCCGGTTTGCGTATCATAAACATCGGGTTTAATTGGTCAATACCAGAGAATGACCAAAACAGTTCAGCGCTAAGCACGAGACCTAGGTCCTTTGGGTACGTCAATAGGTATGTATAGCGTTGTTTTGGTTTAAATCGGTTCAACATTTGGGCCAATTTTACGCCCAATTTGTCCCGTTTCTCGCCAAATAGGGACAACCGAATGCTGCCTGTGGTCAGCGTACTGTTTTCCGATGTATAAACCTGGTCAAAATTATAATGTTAGTTATACGAAAAATATATGTGCACCTAGTTTGATTGTAACGTATAAAACATGTTTTAATTAATTTATTCAGACAGTAGCTATAGCCTTAATAAATAATTAATAAACCTAGCACTACTGTAGTTTGGCTTATAATACTGTATTTGTAATATTAATACTCCAATTTGAATTAGCCATAAACTAGTTGAATAAAGCACTTATTTACCTACATGAGGTTTACCTACGTAAGTTACTACTACATGATAAAGGAAACAAAAATTGCTAAAACTGGCAAAAATAATAGTAAAATTATTACCACAATCTGATAGTGATATAAACAAAAGGGAAACATTTCGCTGGTCTGTAGAAACAGCTGCTTAGAGACGGACTGGTCGTCAACGCCGCGATCGTCGACCGGCCCGATGTGGTCGGCGTAGTCCCAGTAATTAGTGTCCAAATTCAATGGTTTGCACTTCTCTTCGTTAATACCACAGTCGGCGCACTCGCCCTCAGCAAACTTCTCGGCGCTCTCGCACTCGTAGGCAATTAGTTGACACGTATTGAATAGGGAGGGCTCCGATATGGGCAATATAGTCGCCCGACGGTGGTTACAGTTTACCGTATCCACGATACCTATCAAACAAGGTCATTTATTAACA